CATCATCTATTGGTTTCGTCTGCGTTGATCTCCTCCCAGATAGCAACCCGGTTTTTTGATACAATGTTGTCAGGTCTCTGTCTCTCCTACCAGCAGCCTGTTTTGCTTCACTTGCCAGTGTTTCGTAGAAGTGTCTTTTGTCTTTGCGTGCACTCTTCTTCACTTCTTTGTCCAGTGTTTTGTACAATGTACTCAGTTCCTCTTCTCATCGTGCACCCTTGCACTGGCTTATCTTCCGCTTCGCCATCCTCCTCTCCTCTATCAGCTTCCATGTGTCCGTCGAGATCCATTTCTTATCTTCTTTCTTCTTCCTTCCTGACACGGTTTCTTTCCACATCTCTTTCTAAGACTTCCAGTGTTCTTCCACACAGGTTTCTTCAGGGATGTTCCTCGATATCTCCCACTTTGTCTTGATGGCTGGCTGCCGTGAAGATTTCCTTTGTAGTTTCATCCTTCAGTTTCCGAGTGTTGTACTTGAACTGTGGTCTATCACCAGCTTCCTTGAAGGCTTTCAACTTGATTTGGAAGGTTCCTTGCACTAGATAGTGAGTGGTGTGAACCTACATCTGCTCCTCTTCTTGACCTTGTGTTAAGTAGACTGCGTCTCCATTTTCTTGAGATTGAGATAAAGTCGATTTGATTTTTAGTGTGTCCTGGTGTCTGGTGAAATCCATGTCGCTTTGTGGATATCCTTGTGTTTGTACACACTGCCTCCAATCACCAAATCGTTGAATGCACAGAATTCTGCAAACAGTTCTCCATTCTCGTTCATTTCACCGAGCGCTTCTCGACCCATGGTTAGTTCTCTTACTGTGTTTTCCGCTCCCAGTTTGGCATTCATGTCGCTCATTAGAATTTTGATGTCGCCAACTGACGTCTTGTCGAGTGTTGATTTAAGTTGTCTGTAGAATTCTTCCTTTTTCTCTTGCTCTGCAGGAGAGTGATTTAGGCGTCAACTTTTCTGTACAGATGACTGTTGAAGATGAACTGGACATTCATTGTACAGTTTAGCAATAGTTCCTTCAAGTTCATAATCGGGATCCCAGTGTCTAATTTCCTGTCTTATAATAGTTCACAAATATAGTTGATGGATCCCACCAGAGGGACGTTAGTGAACAAAGATGTGACATCTAGGGTTGTATTCACTTATCTTAGCGTTCTTGCAATGTAATCCTACATCAGGTAACATTATGCCTCAAATAAAAAAACAAGTCAGTTGAGTTATTGATACTTCACAGTCACTTATAAGTGGATTGAACAAACTGGTCCGGAAATGGATTAATCAGAATGCATTTTGTGTTAACTACATCTACAGATGGACTGGCAGACAATCAATCAATAGGAGGCCAGACCATGTGTATATATTTAGATATATTCTCCTTTGTTTATTCCTTCTGGTTCTCTACCTGAATACATGTTTCAACATGTTCTACAGTATCGTCTCCACTAATTAGTCGGATGGGGAATCAAATAGGAAGTTGTAGAACTTTGAGGACTGACAGTCGATATCCATGCATCGTTAACGAAAATAGAAGTTCTAAAACCACAATAGTTACATTGAGTAGCTTTACTCTCTTACAGAGCTGTACTTCTAACCTCATAATTGTAAATTCTCTAGTTCCATAAAATTTTTAAAACGTTTTGAAGATATCTGCTGTCTGGAACCAATAGCTTCCTTATGACTTCAGTGGTTAGTCGTACAGATTTACAGGATAACAAGTGAACACTTTCCAAGAGGCAAACCAATACCCAAAATATTTTAGGTGGGTAGAGTAACTTCCAAAAGTGAAAATAAGCAAACTCGTGACGAGTGCTGATTGTTATTACCTATGATGACAAATCTCTGTAAACTCTGATCCTTGATTAACCTAGTGCACTTGCTCAGATCTCTAGTCGGAACAAAATACTACATCAAATACCATGATCGATTAACTGGTTCACATGCCGCCTGCAGATGCCTTCAATCATGTGCTAAACATCAGGCAAAACTAAGTATAACGTTAGTGTTATTGCTTGTATTACACCGTCGTTGTTTGCACCAAATCGATCAGTCTCAGTTGACATATGGGCTCTTGTGTGGATGCCTCGATATGGCCTGTGTTTTAATTATGTATAGTAATGATTGGCAGTAGCTAGCAGTGGAATCCAGGATGCGCATTTCGTTCTATTTGGAACTCACTGGTCAGCTGGATGTACACACCTCCCACTGAGTGATGTTGTTCCCACCGAGACTCGGGAGCGATCGCTTCAAACACCAGAGCGTTATCCAATACACCACCGAGCCACGATAGACACTTCTTGTGCGATGGGTACAGTTTTAGCGCTACTACACAAGAAGTGTCTATCGTGGCTCGGTGGTGTATTGGATAACGCTCTGGTGTTTGAAGCGATCGCTCCCGAGTCTCGGTGGGAACAACATCACTCAGTGGGAGGTGTGTACATCCAGCTGACCAGTGAGTTCCAAATAGAACGAAATGCGCATCCTCGATTCCAATGCTAGCCACTGCCTATCATTACTATGAGTTTGACATTGTTTCAGAACCTGAGAAAGAGTGAAGATATGGTCAACGCATCTCTTCTTCTGTTTTATGACCTCATTTAAGCATGGAATGGTTAGGATCTTGAATAACACTCATCATGACTGATATTTCCAGCAAGTATTGACAGTTTATGCCTTACTTCGTTGAAATAGAATTTAAAAGCATCTTTTGTGATTCGACAGTAACGTAAATCCTAGATGTCATGAATCAAAAATGTGTTTAGCTGTCTGAGTAATCCTTTCAGTTATTCAGTAGAGAGCCATGATCCCACAGAACGACACTGACCAATAATATGTCCATAAACAGGTTGAAAAATGAAAACTTTATGATAAATGTCTTGATTATTTGTGTAGACGTGTCAGTTTTTAACCATATAAAGTCATGGGGTAGCGAAAAATGTCATCTAAATGTTTTCTTAACAAAAAAATGAAAAAACATTCATAATATCGCTTAAGAAATTCTGGTACAATATAAAGGTGAATCGCCCAGCGAGATACTAACAAACTGTGTAGATCAATTCAAAGAACTTTTAACACCATTAAATTATATTTTACTGATACTTGTAATTTCCTGTTGCTGTACAAGACCGAATCGCTCGACCACTTTTGGTAGATGGACTTCTATCCAGATGCCTTGATACTGCCTAGATATTCATTATGTTGTAGTATATTTGAGGGGTAGTAATGGTGTCAGGGACTCACGTTCCGGCCTATCTGGGACTCGTCAGTCCCATGCACTTGCATCATAGTGATTAATGTTGTGCCCACTGACAGTCGAACTCAGTACTTATGGCTTTGAAAGCCAACGCGTTATCCACTAGCTTACTGGGGGCACGAAACCCACCACTTATCCAGCGGGTGTCAGTTGTTGTTCCTCTTGGTACTTGTAATTTCCCTTTCCTATACTGCGTCGAACTGATCAACCTCTCCACTGCCAGTGATCAAATAGACTACAATCTAATAAAGTCACGAAGTATCGCAGCATATACGTTGGGGTCCGACTGTCAACAGACGTCGAGAAATTCAGCAGTAAATAGAAACGAGAAAATTACATTACTATAAACATCATTATTATTACCGTTATTATTCCTTGGGTTCTCAGTAGAACATACGGTTCAGTAATACGGCTCGAGTGTGCCCTCTTCTCTGCAGTCTTTTCAACCTAGCTCCATCATTGCCCACAAGATCTCGTTTCTTCCTCACAACATCTCCATGTCACTCTCGCCTTGGATGCCCAACTCGTCGTTTCCCATCTGGGTTCTACTCGACAACCTGGCCTCGCCTCAAGCGTGATGTCGTCAATCGGTCTTCTCAGTGTATCCCCAATCCAATTCATCCCCACTCTCTTCACCTGCATATTTGTTGGGCTATAGCTTCTTGGTTGATTCGTTGCTTGTCGCTTGTTCTTTCTGGCCATCTCAGCTTCAGTATAGAACGTAGGCACCTGTTGATGAATGTGTGTAGTTTGTTGGAAGTGCTTTTCGTAACGCGCCAAGTCTCTCAACCATCACATAGATTCACAGACTTCACTGACACTGATAGTGTTGAAAATCCGGATGCTGTTCACGCTTTATGCTGAGTGCAGTTGATCTCAAAACTGATTTCAAATTAATGAAGAAAGGCCTGTCTTATTGTCTTCCCTGATCCTAGCTGGCTTTTATGTCCTCGTCTGTACCGTCTGTAGTTAAAATGATGCTGTCTAGGTAGGTGAAAGAAACTACTTCCTTTAAGCTTCTCCCGTTGACGGTGATTCGTGCTTGTCGTTGTTGATGTTGTTGTTGGTTGGGTATCTTCATCACCTCCGTCTTCTCCACATTCACTTGAAGTCCAGTATTCGCTGCCCGCCTCTTCTGTCAACTAGTTGGATCTCGCCTGTAGATCTTCGAGTTTGTGTGACATTCGATACAAGTCATCGGTGAAATCCAAATCTTCTAGGTCCTTTCCATAGGTGCAGCGTATGCTCATCTTCTCGCTCCTCACAGTTTGCTGCATGATCCAGTCGACCACAATCAGGAAGATCATGGATAATAGTAGACAGCCTTGTCTTACTCCTGTCCCCTGTCTTCGCTTCACTCCGAGGGCGTCATTGAGCTTTCCATTGTGAATTACTTGGTATGTGGCGTCTCCATATAGTTGTTGAATGCGATTGATAAAGGTTTGTGGTATTTCATAGCATTGGAGCAGTTGCCAAATTACTTGTCGGTTGACACTGTCGAAAGCCCTTTCAAAGTCGATGAATTTGAGGTAGAGAGTTGACTGCCATACTATGCGTAGTGTTGCGATTTGATCCGCATATGATTTGTTCTTCCTGAAGTCAGCCTGTTCCGATCCTAATTTTGAATCCAGTGCATCCTAACGGGTAATTACAAGCACCAATAAAACAAAAACTAATACACATTGAACAAAAACTATTTGTAATTTGTCATTGCTTTTTCTTCCTTTCTTTCTTAATGTCATTTAGGAAGGCCTGGTCAGTCAGCTGTACCAATAAAACCAGTCAACAGGAAGGGTACAACAGCCAAGTTCAACGCAGAAGCCACCTATACCAGTGAGTATAAATATCCTTTCACTGTACAAGGAATAGTATTTCTTTCTACCCTTGTAGAGTTTTTATACAGTTGATGTTGATTAGAAAGAGACGATTAGCTTAGAGATTAATCTCGTCTTGATGCCTATCATTTAGAGACACTCATCATTAAAGTGAAACTATAAAACTAAAGAGACTAAAGATATCCCAGGTATTCAAGAGTTAGTTGCTTACGCTTCCGTAGTACTGATCTGTTCACGCGATGAATAAAAATGTGTGATATCAAATTATTTTCCCTATTGGGTCATTTGAAATTACGCAATGGCATATTATCCTTTGAAATGGGACAAAACGTCCGTCATTTGCCTAGACAGATCTTATGCGAAGACCCGTTTCACTTACCACCACATCACGTCTGCTACCTTGTTGACAACAGTGCAAACTGCATAAAGAGAATCCAGTTAGCATTTGAGACTATTTATTATTATTATTTGTCCCCTGAGTTCCTAGTGGAATATAAGGCTTCACTAGCACGTCTCCATTCCACTCTCTTTTCTACAATCTTTCCAACCTGGCTCCACGACAGCCCACAAGCTCTCATTTCTTCTTCACATCATCTCCTCCATGTCACCCTCAGCTGAGACGCCAGACTCGTCGTTTCCCATCTAGGTTCCACTCGATTGCCTGGCCTCACGCGTGATGTCCCCGAATGGTCTTCACAGTGTCTGCCCAATCCAATTCATCCCCACTCTCTTCACCTGCATATTTGTTGACTGATAGGTTCTTGGTTGGTTCGTTGCCAGCCAGTCAGAGTTCATTGTTGCTTATTATTTCTGGCCATCTGATCTTCAGTAGAGAGTATAGGCAGTTGTTGATGAATGTCTGTAGTTTGTTGGAAATCCCTTTCGTAACATGCCAAGTCTCTGAGCCATACAAAAGCACTGATTTGAAGTTGGTGTTGAAAATCCGGATGTTGTTCTCGCTGTGCGCTGAGTGCAGTTGATCTCTACACTGGTTTTAGGTTAATGAAGGAAGGCTTGTCTTGCTGTCTTTCTGATCCTGGCTGGCTTTGAGGTCGTCATCTGTGCCAGGAGCTTTTCCTAACTTCCATAGAAATTGGTGATGCGTTACTACCATTTGATCGAATTCACACACTGACTGCCCAGTCAGAACTGTTCATTGCCGATACTAATCTACCTGAATTAGAGAGGGGGGCCGGCAGCATGTGGATTACCAGTTTTACGATCTAAGAAAGACGTAGTTTGGCAAAGTTGTATTGGTACCGGTGGCTGGATGAGATTCTACTACAGCACAGATTTTCATTTCACCTTGACTCATTATCAACCTGAATGGCGTCAGGCAAATGCTTTAAATAGAATGGATATCAGGAAGTTCTAATGAGAAGCCGTGATCTGTGGGGTCAACCAGTTGGGAGAGGAGCAGATGCCAACTGAAGATCTTGTTGGAAAGCCAAGCTATATCGTGAATTGATGGAGGTTGGGAATCGTGAACCACAGAAAACCAACCCAGTGGCTGAATGGTTAACGGGTTCGCCGCGAAACCTGAACGTCCTGAGCTCGATCCGCAGCCGGGTCGTGGGTGGGTAATGCTCAGGAGTCCCATACTAGGACGAAACAGCTATCCTGTGCTCCCAGATTTTCAGTTTCCCCAACTGATGTCAGTTCATGATGAATACTACTTCTATGCTACTATACTACTTCATTGCTCAGCAATTTGGCAACTCAGAATCATTCATGCAGGAGAAGAACACTTCTCAGGCTATCATATGCAATTATTATTATTATTACTATTATTATTATTATTATTATTAGTCCCTTGGGTTCCTAGTGGAACATACGGCTTTAGTAGCACGTCGCCAGTGACCTCTGTTCTCTGAGATCTTTTGAATTTGGTTCCACGACAGCCCAGAAGCTCTCACTTCCTCATCGCACAACCTCCTCCATGTCACCCTCGGACGTCCAACTCGTCGCTTCCCCTGGGGATTCCACTCGAGTGACTGGCTTCACGCGTGATGTCCCCAGTCGGCCTTCTTAGTGCATGCCCAATCCACCTCCACTTCTTCCTGCATATTTGTTGAGTGATAGGTTCTTGGTTGGTTCGTTCCCAGAGCTCCTTGTTGCTTATTCTTGTTCTTCTGGCCACCTGATCTTCAGTAGAGAGTATAGGCAGTTGTTGATGAATGTCTGTAGTTTGTTGGAAATCCCTTTCGTAACATGCCAAGTCTCTGAGCCATACAGGAGCACTGGTTTGACGTTGGTGTTGAAAATCCGGATCTTGTTCTACATGCTGAGTGCACTTGATCTCCACACTGGTTTCAGGCTAATGAACGCCTATCTTGCTTTTCCGATTTCGACTTTGACATCCTCGTCTGTGCCTGTGTCGCCTGTAGTTGAAACAGTGCTTCCTAGATAGGTGGAGGTTACTTCCTTTAGGTTTCTCCCGTTGATGGTGACTGGAGTTTGTTGTTGTTGTTGGAGTTGTTGGTGCGGTATCTTCATCACCTCTGTCTTCTCTATATTCACTTGAAGGAAGTCCCGTCTTCGCTGCTTCTTCTGCCAACTTGTTAGTTTTCGCCTGTAGATCTTCAAGTTTATGTAACATCAGGCACAAGTCATCGGCGAAATCCAAGTCTTCTAGGTTCTTTGCCGCGGTCCGGTGTATCCCCCTCTTCTCGCTCCTCACTGTTTGTTGCATGATCCAGTCCACCACAGTCAGGAATATCAAGGGTGATAGTAGACAGCCTTGTTTTACTCCTGTCTTCACTTCAAAGGCATCACTGAGCTTTCCATTGTGAATTACTTCACACGTGGCGTCTTCATATAGCTGCTACTGAATGAGGTTGATAAAGGTTTGTGGTGTTCCGTAGTGTTAAAGCAGTTTCCAAATTACTTCTCGGTCAACCCTGTCGAAGGCCTTCTCAAAGTCGATGAATTTGAGGTAGCTTGTTGACTGCCATTCTGTACTCTGTCCTATGATGATGCGAAGTGTTGCAATTTGGTCCGCACATGATTTGTACTTCCTGAAGCCTACCTGTTCCGGTCGTAATTTTGAATTCAGTGCATCCTTTAGTCTGTCCAGGATTATGCGGCTTAATATTTTGCTTGCATTGGGTGGACAGGAGCATGATTCCTCGCCAGGTCTCCCTTCTTCGGCAGTTTGACAAGGTAACCCTTCTTACAATCACTAGCCAGGTACTTTCTCTTGCTTCCACACCTTCTGCAATAGTGGTGTGGTGTGAGCATGTTCGCTTTTGTCTCTGCGTCTGTTCTCACTGCTTCTGGCGGGATCACATCTGGTCCTGCTGCTTTCCCGCATTTCAGTAGCTTTATGGCGTTCAGGACTTCCATTTTTGTTGGAGGATTTATGTTCACTTGTAGCTCGGCGGCTGCAGGTGGTGGTCGATTCAAGAGTATCATATGTTTCATATGTAAGCTTGGGCGATATTGTAAAATCCTGTTTACCACAACTTTGATAAAGCCATTAGCAGGATTAATTGTAGACATACATCGTTTGAAATAAATTTGTTTTGTTTAGCGAAATTCAAATACCAAAATAATGAACATCATTAACCCAATGCCTAATTTTTTTACAACCATCATAGTTCGTTTCCCTTCGAAATGCTTGATTTGACTTTATAAATACCTTTCAAGGAAGACTCTGGTGGAGTAAAGTGACCAGAATTAACCAGATGCCTAATGATTGAGCTGTTAATTGCTTCGCACACTCTTTTTTGACAGCAATACAGAATAGCGCTTGGAGACGCGTTTGGATAAAACACGCCTTGTACCGCCTATGTAACCAGCTCTCCAAGAGCGAATGAATTGATAAACACACAAATCGAGGTGGAAAAAACCGGCAGTTTATCATTTACACACCCTGGAATAAGTTGTTGACTGGAGAAGAAAATTCGATGCTGACTGAAAAAGAAACCTTGGCGACTCATTGGTTCAAATAAGATCTTTGCATCCAATCATCTTGTGACTTTATCGAAAAGTTTTGACAACCTTGTATTGGCACATTACCTGTTGATTGACACTGGTCTTATTATGACAATAATTACGATTGTGTAGCTTTTTAAAATGATTCATTGAAAATGGAATTTTCTTCACTGAAATTGTCTTTTATTAATCTTCAATGAGTTTACTGTTTTATGATAATTTGGTTGATTGTGGCTAGCAGAAGAATCCAAAATGCTCTTTTCGTCCTATTTAGGACTCATCAGCTTGATGCACCTGCACCCCAGTGATGTTGTTCCCACTGAGACCCAAACCTCGCACCCATCGCTTCAAACGCCAAGGTCGAACAACTCGACCTAACAAAACAAAAGAGAATAACAAGTATGTCGACAAATAGTAATAACTACTAGCCGTTGTACAAGAGGTGGCTATCGTTCCACTGTGGCATAGTGGATATTGCCTTGGCGTTTGAAACGATGGGTACGTGGTTCAAGTCTGAATGGGAACAACATCACTGGGGTGCAGGTACGTGCAGCTGACGAATCCCAAATAAGACGAAACGTACATCCTGGATTCTTCTGCTAGCCACAATCATCCAAATTATCATAATTAACATTCAGGCAATATCGAAGCATCCTCATAGGAGCCCAAACGCCTATACAGGTCGAACAGTTCGATCCAACAAAACAACGGAGAATAACATGTCATGAAATAGTAATAAAAGTGTATTTTTTGTTGTTTTTTACTGGAGGGATTCAAACGTCACTTGGTTATTCATGGAGATGCTCAGTGATGATTGAAGATGAAATGGAAATCTGGATCGCGGAGGGGTTCAAAAGAGCTAGCACTGGATTTCCAATCTAGTACTTTACCAACTGAGCTACGAGGCGTCTAATCGCCTTTTAAAACAAAGTACTTTTGTCCTTCCAGTATTCGTTTCCACTGGTTTTAACTACGCAACACTAATACCATCATCTTCTTCACTAGATAGATTTAAGTAAAAATTGGTTGGTGTTAAATCATTCATCGTGGATTGAAAACACGTAAGGAAGTGTTCAAAACCAGCTCACAGCAGGCATTTGTTTCGCTCTATTCCTGGAGTGCTCAGCAGTGCACACCTATGACCCCATTCACAGTCGAGTACAGTACTAAAGGATATTGTAGAGAAGGTGATTAGTCATTTTAAATATGGAAACCAGTAATTCACCTTTCCCAACTATTATGCATTTAGAAAAAAGGATTGATTGGGAGAGCGAACAAATATATTCCTTCTTCCTCTTCGGCTCTACACTTATATACATAGCTTGACAATTCAATCAAAATACAAATCAACTGGTGGGGGATTAGTGAACAATAATTATAGATCTCATCTCAGTCATGAAGATGATGTCTCAGAAATAAGCATGTCAATCATCAATAGAGTAATTAAAATCGGAAATATGAAGCAGGTTATTCTTAGGTAAATGGAGTGACTTCTGATCAGTGTTCAGTCATAAACAATAAACAGTTACGCAATAATCAGAAAACAAATGAATATTGGTAGGACCAGGAGGGGGAAGAGGTGTACAAAGTAACACTAGAGGTTACATCATGTTGTGACGACCACAGTAATAAAATTGATCGAACAAACTTCTTTCGAATACAGGGGTTGGGTTTGTTTGTAAAGGTGGATTGCAATCGCCTACCCCTGCTATGTGAAGTAAGCGAGTGCATAATCCATGTGATAGTAAATTAATTGGAATGTGATGAATAATTTTGAAGACTTTTCTGCTTGATGTCCCGTGTCAACTAGGAGTGGGAGTATAGACCTCTTCATGATACTAATTTGCCTCTTGCTCAAGTATGTTGGGTGATGTTCAGGAAGGAATTCGACGATTAAACTGCCTCATTGTAAGCGCAATGTAACTATCTCCACAGGAGTAGTAGAATTGATAAATGCACATGGAAGTGACAGAATGAGGCAGTTTGTCTTTGTTTCTTGCAGCTATAATGTTGCTGTAGTTGTAGAAGATGGGGCGTAATTTAGTTGATGGGACTGCTTTTTGCGAGACTCTTTTTTATGCGTGGTGTGATGATCTCACTGGCAGCGTCACTCTTGAATTTTAGCTTCAAGAATTACTTCTTAGGAACTGTTGGTGTTCTCGTCTTAATCCTCATAACATTCATATGCTTAGTCACAAGCTTGTCTAGATAGCCATTCTTACTAAGCAGATCATGGACGGTGACGAATTCTTCCTTTATAGTATCATCTGAGCAAATAGCTGTGGCACGGTATGCTAGATATTTCCCCAGGTTCTTTTTATATTAGAGGGGTACGGCACTATCGGTTTGCAGTATATTGGGAATATCATCACTTCTGGTAAGCAAGTGCATGACTGTCTTCACACGTGAATAAATTGACGCTACAGGTTGCAACTTTTCAGTAAAACACCCGGAAATCCATCTCCAAATAAGTCTGGAACAAACCATGGACTGGTATGGTTATCCACTGGTGGTAAATGCTCTCGTTCCTGCTCCCCATTCTATCACTGTTAGATAGTCAGGTTGAGGAGAGTCAGGCTAACTCCTAAATTTTATGTAAACATGTTGAATTAATGTGGTGAAAATCGCTGTTGAGCTGTATTCACTGACCAGCGGGTTGGGGTCCACGTGATAACAGAAATCACTAGTTGAAGACTTTAGGTGAAATGGCTTAGAATCAACATCAGTGGAGTAGATCTGTTCCCAGATCTTTTTAACAGCAATACTGAATTCAATATTTTCTCATTCCACGTTCCTCTCTTCCACTGATTTCGAGCGATTCTTTTTCATTTCGTTATCTTTTGTCTTATAGCTTTGTAACTTGATATGCCGATATAAGGTATGGCAACTTGGATCATTATGTAATAATGCCTGGCCGGTCCTATGATGATGATAATGATTGGAATTACCAGTAACAATCGTAGTTATAATCACTATCCATCTTAGAATTTTTATAATATATCAATTTGTGTTTGAAAACTCTAGAAAATTGTTTTTCTTTACCCTTTTACCTTTCTTTTTCAATCTAGCTGACTATAGAGCATGGAAAATAGACAAACGTGAATCACCTGTGTGTAGAGAATCAAATTGGTCGAAACCGAATATACCGTTTACAGGCACACCAACATATACATGCGATTATGTTGCATATGAGTAAGTTCTGGTGAAGATTATGAGTTACTTTCACGCGAATTACGTTAGTCTGTTTGTTTCTGGTTAGTTTCATTATTATTTATTGTGCTAGGGTTTCATGCCTCCTCATTGCATTTCATATACTTGCTGAAATAAGAAGACAATGTACAAAGCTTCAGAAGAAGTGGATGTGCCAATGGGTTAGCGAAGTTGACTGATTCTCAGACCAGTAGTATTCAGCATTAGAGATTATCTCATTTCAAAGTATACACTTTTGTAACAACCTTATCAAACCTAATTACTCAAACCTTCCACCTCCCTGGACTTCTAAAGTTTGAAAAGCCGAGGACACTTGGGGTTAAAATTAAAAGAACCAAAGTTAAATATTACGGACTGAAGCTTCACTTGTTGCTAAATTTGGCAACTTCAGGCCATCGTCAACTTGACTGTCAGTTCATAAGTTGAACATGGAATCTTGACGATAAATTTCTTAAATCTGTCATCAAGTAGATAACTTTTATGTCTTTGTGTTGATAGTTTGGCAGACTGTTCTGCTCTTAACATCGGTATATGTTTCTTATTGAGTAATACAAGGAACAGACTGGGGGAACTCCCCAACTCTAGTCCTAACTGTTATCCTACTGTCACTCACTAACATCACACCAGCTGATTTAGAGAGAAGGGAAAGTTTGACTGTAAGCCTATAAAATGCACAAATATTTGTATTTAGCAAAAAATATATGTACAAAAGCCTTAAAGGATAATCAGAATGCAAATGATTAATGCGAAGGATATGTGAAGAACAGTCATAACTGGTTTGTTGTTGCTGTCACTCTATCTGACTGCAGATAAAACAGTACTAAATAGTTGTTGGTAGGTGGTAGCAACTAACAGCCAATCACTTTTATTGTTGCCTTCACTTAGCGTAAATTTCATATGTTCCCTTTAATCAAAATCTATAATTACCAACTTAAGCAGTTAAAATACAATTATTGAAGGTTTCTGTTAAAGCTTTGTCTGGTTGTAATTGTCTAAAGCACATGATTCTGCCTATTCAGTCTGATCTTGCACATGATTGGTCTCGTACTCACTTCTTTTGTTTTGTATACTCCATCCAGCTGGCAACACAATGAGTCAAGCAATTCGGCCCTCCTTTACAACCAACTGCACTGTTTCAACTACAGGCGACACAGATGAGGACATCTAAGCCAGCCAGGATAGGAAAAGCAAGACAGGCGATCATAAACCTAAGACCAGTGTGGAGATCGTCTGCACTCAGCACACAGCGTCAACAATATCCGGATTTTCAACACTATCAATGTCAGTGAAGTCAGTGCTTCTATGTAATGGTTGAGAGACTTGGCGCGTTACGAAAGGCATTTCCAAAAAACTACAGACATTCATCAACAACTGCCACCTGCGCTGGCTCGTTACTGAAGATCATATGGATGGCCAGAAATAATAAACAACAAGAAACTCACTCTGTGAGTGAACCAACTAAGCAAGAACCTATCGCTGAACAAATATGCAATGGAAGGAAGTGGAGATGGATTGAATTGGCATACACTGAGAAGGGCGACTGTGGACATCATGAGCCAGGCCAGACCGTCGAGTGGAACCCAGATTGGAAGTGACGAGTTGAACGTCCGAGGTGAGGGTGAGATGGAGATGGTGTGAGGAAGAAATGAGAGCTTGTGGTCTGTTGTGGAGCCAGGTTGAAAAGATTGCAGAGAAGAGAGTGGAATGGAGGTGTGCTACTGAAGCCGTATGTTCCACTAAGAATTCAGGGGACAAATAATAATATTTACAATCAAATCAGAACACAAAGTCTGCTGCTCGCACAATGTTACAATTATTTCCAAACTACTAGTCATACATCAATAAATGAGGGATCAGTTGGAAGCTCTTGAAATGAACGAGCTGTACAATAATGTTGCCACCAATTAAAACATACGTGGAATGCATTTCAAGAAAATTATCTGAGTGAGGTTCATGTTTTCCACTTTTCGGCTGATATAACAGTCTCTGTGGCCCCTTCAAGATAATATGGAAGTATCGGTCCGTAGATGAGTATCCTGTGTGTGTGTGTGTTTTCTTTCATTACGTCATCATCTACAACTGCAAATCAGTCGTCATTATATACACTGTGTTGTATATGCTCCTCATGTAGCAGAACGAATAAACAACCACTGTAAGTCTAGTTGATGACAGTGGAAATCACCCACAGATGCACTGCTGCATTCAGGTTCCATCTCCATTTCAGACATTAACATACTATCCCACAGTTTTTATTTTCTTTGGTCCTTATTCTTCTTACTTACTTTGCTTAGTTCGCTTCTATTTCTGTTTATTTTCACCAATTTTTGGTGCAGGCAGTCACGGAAACTTGATACGATGCACTAACGATGAATTGACATCGAGAAAGCAAATCACTGAAAACTCGGTACTAGTATAGTGTTAACAACCAGGCATTCACGTATACCTTGTTCACATTGGTAGTGGGAGTAGCAACAGATAAAATTCACTGAAATTTATATAAAACCGACAATTAGACCGTATAGCTCATTCAGAGGAAAATTGGGGCATGTGATGAGTTTGAATCTGGTTGCAACTAAGGTCTCCGTTTCAAATTCAAGTTATCGCAATCTTTTAAACTAGGCAAAGTTTCCTCTACCAAGATTATACTCAGTAGTCTAATCCGTAAAAGGAGATTTCTCTGTAATATATTTTTTTAAATCCCTTTTTTTCAACCAAATCTTAAAATTCTCTGATATTCAATGGTTTTAGCTCGAGGCCTCCAACCAGCTGTAAGCCAATTCATCAATACATAGAGAATCAAACACCATTTGCAGACAGTACAGATTATCGTGATTCATATCGTACTCCAGATGTGCCAGAAAGAGCACGTCCAATCAAAATTACAGGAGAGATACACAGGGCTTCAGTTCCAATGGAGCATATATCAACACATATGCAAGATTATTATTGGAAGACTGTAGGTAAGTAAAACAGCACACAGGTATGTTAACTTTGAACAATAGCCAATTTTATGTTGTTCAGCCGTAAATGATGACATCGTAATTATTCTGCAGTGATCAGTTAGTTTATCTATTCCAATACCCCTTGAATAGTCGAGTGGTAATGCATACAACTCCATCACTGAATAAAGTGGCTTTGAATCTCTGAACTGAGGTTGGTCATATTAAGATTGTAATCTTCAGTGGACCGAATTGATCAACTAATATTGGTATGTGGGCTCTTTTACGGATGCCTCAATATTTCACCTTTTGATATTAATGATAGATTGTGAGTTTCAGTGGAATCTAGAACGCGTATTTCGTCCAATTTACGACTCATCAGTTGGATGTACCTACCTCCTAATAAGTGACTGCCTCTTACTGCACGAAGGCGGAACTTTTCCACTCATCACTACTCTCCCTCTGAGGATGAGATGAAACGTCCATGACAAAATATCAGATCTCAGAGAGAACATCAAGCCATCATCATCCTCATCCTGAGCTACAAATTTTCCTTATCGTTTCAAAGATACCTTATGAGGTAAATAAAATCAGTTCTGTTAGGCAAAGATTCTTGTTAGTTAATTTTCAATTTTTTCATGTGTTCATTAAACAGTCATGCCTTTTGAGGTCGAGATTAATATTTTCTCACATCATCAAAACCCTGTAATCGCTTCATGTCTTCTAATTTCACTGACCATGTCTCATATACTATATAACACGAGAAAATGGACTTCAGCGCAGTGTACTCGTCCTTTGATAGGTAGCCGGGTATTTCGTCATTCAGCGTCATAGATGACATAAGTTAGCAAACGACAAATGGGCCTTCTGTATCCGAGCTGAGATTTTGTTAGCAACTACCTTGTTTAAGCTGATGCAGCTCTTCAAGTAAGTGAAGTGGTTGACGCATTCCACTACTTTCCTCCCTATTCATAAATTGGAAGTAGTTGCAGACCATACCTAGAACAGTATCTTACATTTGATAGGGGCCAACGAAACGTTTACCAAGAGTACTCAGATATCTGTTCAACATGTTCAGAAGACGCAACTGATTGTACCGTCTTATTATATGACAGAGAACTTTGGTCCCAATCAGATTCAACTCATTGGTCTATAGTCAGTATTATCATAGTTTTTCATGAAATAGTTAATAATTGACTGTATGGGATAACTTGTAAGGATCGAAATCAGTTGAGTTCATCATCATTGTGTTGCCACAGTAATGTGACTAGTCGGCCTGGCTGCTTTTAGTCAGAATATGCCGACATCACGCGCTTCCATTTTACTTTTCTTTGGGACTAGCAGTCATATCCAGGATGCGCGTTTCGTTCTATTTAAGATTCACTCACCAGGTGGACGCTTTTGCACCCCGGTCGGGGACATTGTTTCCATTGAGACTCGAATCCAGTACCCATCGCTTCAAACGCCGAGGTGTTATACACTAGGCCACTATGACATGATACCTACCTTCTTTGCAATGATTATCAGTTTTTGTGTTTATAATTTGTAACTCTCCCTTACTATATTAAATTTAAATCCTTGAGTTTCAGAGGAAACAACATCACTCACTGGGATACAGATACATCCAGCCGATGAGTCTCAAATAAGACGAAATATACATCCTAGTTCTTACCATTAACCATGGGGAAGGAAAACTGGAACATATTGAGTATTAGGCAGTATTGAAACCTCCACACAGGAGCTCTTATGCCAACAGAGGTCAAACAATCCAACCCAGTATAACGACGGGAAATTACAAGCATCAGAATAAAAATTGTGTTCTTCCTTTTCTATAACAGAATACGAGTGATGTAATCAAGTCGTCTGAAGATTCTCAGATCATATTCTTTCGATCCATAACTTCTTTAGTAAGTAAATGTATCAACACAAAGCATACACAGCTTGAAGAACAAAACCTTCATCATTTTTAGTGCATATTCATCACTTCAAATATCTTAGTGTGTTATAGTCACAGTGCTGCTTCTCACACAAATCTGTAAGTGTTCACCTTGAACTAGTCACTAGTGGTATATTCCCCCAAACCCCAAGTGTTAGTAAGTACTTTACTATCAATTAATTTGTATACTATTCCTTTTGTTTCACTTCAGTCCCATCAACTTCATGTAAACCTGAACACATTGGTATTACACATAATGAACCATTCCAACAGGATACAACACACAGAAGTGATTATAAAAATTGGGAAGTGACGGAACGCAGTACACCTATAATGGCTAACACTCCTTCAACTTATCCAGAACCATTAGGACAAATGAGCTCAGACACCACGTATAATAAAGATTATATTCCATTTAAAGTACAATATCATAAAGCTGTTGGTAAAGCGGATAAATTAGGTCATGGTATTAAACTACCACCATTTCAGGTATGTCGTAAACAGATGCACTATGTTTGTTGATAAACCGTAATATCATTTTACATTTTTTGAGGTTGGTAGAGGATTTCTTTATCGACTGATTTTAGGTTGATATTCATCATGGAAGCGTCGAAAATCTGGGAGCACTGGACAGTCGTTTTGTTCAGCTAGGAGATTTCTTGGTAGTGTCGACCCATGACTCTGTTAGGGACCAAACTCAGGACCTCCAGGTTTCACGAATAATATGTTAATCACTCAATCACTGAGTTGAAGTTCAATGGTTCACAGTCTTTTACTTCTGTCCTGATTGGTTGGGTAAACCAAGTTGGACGTGAGGAGAGATACTGAACGGTGACATTGGATGGAGGTCACGCTACCTCATGAAATGAGAGAAGTCGGAAACTGTGAACCATTGAACGTCAAAGCAACGGCTTACTTGTAACACCTTTGCCCAGGAAACCTGAGCATCGTCAGTGTACACTGCTGAGAAGTCCCACAATAGGATGAAATAGCTTTCGGATGCTCCCATATTGCATCTACACACTGTCTGCAAACATTGTGTGTTCATGGTATTTTATCTCAAATTCAACAATCATACCACCCTGTATGAATGCAGTCAACAGGTGGCACTAGTTAGTGTCAACATTCTCCTGATGTTGCCAGGAGAGGTTTGGTAGTCACTTTCAACTGACACAGTAACCAGAACAATAGCATAGAACAGTTGTCTCGACACATGACTATAATCAGTGATTTTTCAGTTCATCAACTAACGTTTACTTTTTGGTTTGGTATATGAGAGAATAAAAAGTTGTGATCAATATTTTGCTTTTTTTGTTCACTTCCACTCTAGGGTATTTCAGACTATACAGATAACTATCGTCGCTGGACATTAGAGCCTCATGTTAAGAGTATGGCAAGAGAATCAACCTATTCTATACCAAATGTTAAATTTGAGGGTAAAAGTACAACCAGTGATCATTATGTGGCTCATTTAAATTATCGGCCAGTTGAATCATGTAAACCACACAGTCAGGTTGTTACCAATCAAACACCATTTGATGATGCTACTCTATACCGTATGGAGTATACACCGAAACACTTGGAACCATGTCCAGCTGCACTACTCAACTCTGATTTGAGCAAATATGTTTACGCTGAACAGGTGAGTTAACTGACAATGAATACTGAATAACTTTAGCTATTGATAGTCATTAGCTCAAGCAATCGACTTTGAATCAATACGTCCTAGATTCGAACTATGCTCCAATGAGTTTCATTAAACTTTAGGGGGGGGGGGGTTGTCTGAACGCTAATGTACAATCACAAATTCAGTGTTCCAAAGAGGTTGAGAATTGCGATGGGACAAAACCTATTTCTTCCGAACACACGACTACTTCTTTAACTGATGAATTTTCATCTCTTCTATTATGCGCAAGCAAGATTTGAAACTCAACTCTTTTTCAGCCTATCACTTTGTCTTTGTAGATTATCTTGAAGGTAAACTTTTGGAGATCTGTTTGTGGCGAAAACTGACTAACTGATCGATAACTGAATTAGTGATAAATATGCATTATTCTCTTGGCAGTCAAACAAGGTAACCGTCGGGTGTGCATTGACAAATTGTAATCTAACTAAACAGGAACAAGTGAACCTGTAACCATACACTGAGGTTGTGAGAATAGGTAGCTTGGCCTTTCCACACTTAGAAAGTATTTGCCAACTTCAGGAAGGTGATCTACACAATTCAGCAGAAAAAATGTTCCTTTAAGCCGTATACAACAGGATTTCATGAGTAATATGGGAGCTGAAATCATGAAGAGGTATAGGCTTGAAGTGAACTCTACACCCAATATTATGGCATAGGAACATTAAAAGACTCGTTGATTTGTCTTTCTGGTGAACCTTTATGATTAGTCAGCTGAAAGGTAGCAGAGCCCGTTTATTACATAAGTGTACTCTAGAAATTATTAGGTAACGTTTTCCTTTGTATTTCTTAAGTCATCTGGAAACAGCGGACTTTTTATTTCCCAAGTCAATAAACTTTATAAATTGATTGAAGTCGTTGGAGAATTGAGGGTGAAATGCTACCAATCTTTAGCTCACATTACAACAGTTTGTCTAAGCTTTCAAAAAAGATTCTACCCAGTACCTGGCAGAGGGATAGGTGTGGATGAAGTACAAGTCCCAATAGTAGACATGAGATGATTAAGAGGGGACAGAAGTGAGGTATGTTAGTTGACTGGAGCAAATCAGCAGTAAGCCCTATCCTGCCTAGGTTTCATGCCCATTGGCACTCTTCTACAAAGCGAGTCGGCGACCTCAATGGAACTGATTTCCTCCGTAAGATTTAAACCTACAGTACTCACTTTGTAGTCAGCAACCTTATCAGTGAGCTAAATTACACACACTGATTTGTCACTAGAAAGTTTGGCATCGCGTGTGGATGTTAGTTTCATTAGAGGTAATCGGAACGAAGCTCTGCAAGACAGAGTCGTTCTTTCTGGCACTCATCAGCAACGCATATCTGTTCCTTCTGACCGATGGAAATCGATCAGCCCTTAGGACTAAACAACAAGTAATCGGTTGCTCTCCAGTGACAAATCAGTTTTTTTTTTAATGTTTTTGCATCCATGGTGAAAACCCGACTGTTAGTGCAGCTCACACATTACATTCAGCACACACTTTTGACTACCTCACCACTATAAATAAAGTCGCCAATAGGATTTATTCTAACTGGCAGTGTTTGTCATTCGGTCGGTCAGTCAGTCAGCCACTGTCAACTTGTGACTTGGTATTAGCACATAATGATCCAAGTTGTCTTGACTCCCATCTGCCCATCAAAGCAGGAGGCATCAATATGGTAATAGGAAGCGATTACTTTGCTCGAAATTACTGCTATATTTCAGACTCGGTACCGTACTCACTAGATCTCATGCTTTATATTACTATTATTATTATTATTATTATTATTAAAGTTAGTTGGCGCTTTAATTGACAGAAATGTTGGCTTAGTTTCACTTGGTGGCTAGTGGTGGATTCCACGACCTGCGTTTCATCCTACAACTCGACGACTTGACGTATCTGCCTCCAAGTGAACGGTGTCTCTGAGGCAGGAAATTACAAGTGACAATAAATAAAAGTAATGGTAGTGTAGTGCATTTAAACTGCTCGGTGGACACATTCCTTTAAATATGAATTATAAGTTACTCCTTTTATTTCTTAACTCAGTACCTATAAAGGATATTATTCTGTGGAATGGAACTAGTTATTTGCAAAATCGAAAGGTCACGAAGAAGCAAATTGTAGGTATTTTGCTTACATGCTAACACACACAGACAATCAGTCATTTCCTTTTTCATTCTATAAATATAATACAATAACTATTCTGACAAATTTTATATCGATCGAAGACAAAATGTGATTACTGTTTCCAGTCATTAGAATTATGGATGAGGGAACAAAACACGTTTCTTTGCGAACGACAATTTCACTGATTAAAGCTGTATGGCTTAGAGACTTGGCGCGTTACGAAAGGCATTTCCATAAAACTACAGACATTCATCAACAACTGCCACCTACGCTGGCTCGTTACTGAAGATCATATGGGTGGCCAGAAATAATAAACAACAAGGAACTCACTCTGTGAGCGAACCAACTAAGCAAGAACCTATCGCTCAATAAATATGCAGTGGAAGGAAGTGGAGATGGATTGAATTGGCATACACTGAGAAGGGCGACTGTGGACATCATGTGTCATGCCAGACCGTCGAGTGGAACCCAGATGGGAAGCAACGGGTTGGGCTTCTGAGGCGAGGCTGACATCAAGGAGATGGTGTGAGGAAGAAATGAGAGCTTGTGGTCTGTTGTGGAGCCAGGTTGAAAAGATTGCAGAGAAGAGAGTGGAATGGAGGTGTGCTACTGAAGCCGTATGTTTCACTAAGAATTCAAGGGACAAATAATAATAAATAATAAAGCTGTGTACAACCGTATTTATAATCAATGGAAACAAATAACAACGTATTGTTAATCAATATGGACAGGTGATTAACAGTAATTTTTAAAAGTGGAATACAAAATTTCTATTTTGGCCATGGTAAGGCCAATCATTTTGAACACAATGATCAGGTTGAAATTTGTGAATTGTTGATTATTCCGCTATACATAGATAAGATAGTCAAAGGCTTTTCAAATTGTTGGAAGGTAGTCTGAAGGAATTGCTGATAGAGAGGCAAGACTTAACACAAAGTATTATACCACTACTATTAATAACCTTACTTCACTACTTCTCAGTACTTCTGACTGAAATATGATTTGTTTTCAGCGTTTCCAGTACCTCATCATCTTTCATAGGTATCAATAATAACACTAATTATTGTGACTTGATGTTCAAAACATAATGAGCATTGCTGAGTTGCTGCAAGAAATAATTTATAATACTCTGATGTAGATGACACATCTTCAAGAAAGTTTTAAAAAGAAGCTTACAATTATCCAATAGGTCTTCGAATTATGTAGTGTTTACGCACCACACTGCTGTAGAGTAATGGAGGTAGTCTAGACTAGAGTAAATTGTTGCTAAAACTGCTGAAGTTCCTTGATGTTATATTCATCTTGATGACTACCAGTAGAAACCAAGAAGAGCATCGCAGCCTATTTGGGACTTACTCGTCAGCTGGATGTACCTGTATTCTCCTAGTGAGTGATCATGTTCTCACCCGGACTTGAACCCAGTGCCCGTAAATTCAAACGCCAAAGTACTATCCACTAGGCTACTAAGAGAGAAGTGATGTATAATCGAAGTTCGTTTTAATATCACTGGATTCTGTTAACTGGATAGTTTTTTTTTTAAATTGAATATTCAACTGTCATATCATCGTCGGTGAAGACTTCGACAAAAAGGAAAAAGATCAAAAGAAAGATGTCTTACACAATGTCCTCACGATAATGATTGTGATCAGCTATTAAAATAGTCGTATTAGTGTTATTATTAATATTTGTTGACAGGGTTTCAAGTCTCATCAGCTAGCTGTTTTGATCATTGTGTCCGTGCAGTTGGGCCTCTTAGTTCAGTTGATGGGGCATCGGGTAAATAGGCAGGAGGTCACTTGTTCCAGTCCTGTTATGGCCAAGACTTTCATTTCACCTTCAACCACCATCACTCAAGATAAACAAAACAAGTCTGCCAAACCATGTCTATCTCAAATAGTCAAATCGATAATCAATACGATGCACGCCATCTCTCTAATCCAAATAGGTTTGGAATAGGATGATAAGTTATGACTGGGTAGCCAGTAAGAATAGGATCAAGCGGTAATAACGTGTCACAAATTCACATGACAGTCGGACAAAATTCTTGGTGATTGAAGTGACGTAAACATCTGGTTGGCAGTTAAATCTCGTGGCTCAGCTGGTAGAGCGCTGAGCCGGTAACCCAAAGGTCGGGAGTTCGAACTCTGTGACAACCTATCATGGCTATCTCAGATAATCTAATTGATAATGAGCATGAAGTTCATGAAAATGCAACTGTCATTCTGTTAAATTCTTTAAATGATGCCTGTGACCTCCTATGACAAGAAAAAAATCAATAAATACAACATTGAACTATCCTTTTTATTCGTAACCATGACGTTTTTTTTTATATCAGTAAGTGACTAATTGATTATCAACCTCCTTCATTGTTTTCTGCTTTTTCTGTTCTTCATTCAAATAACAGAGTGATACGGGACATATATTCTATCGTAGGGCGTCGAATTCTTCATTGGTCACTACTGCTCAGCCTCCGGAGAACCATTTGATGACTCTACCAAATGCACCACTTACAGTGGCTAACTAATTTGATGAAGAAGAAGTTCAGGGCAAACTATCTCGAAAATTCACGAATACCTTTTCCTCGTATCACCACCTTCCTGATATAGATAGAATAAGCATTGCCAAACGCGTTATTTTAATATGCACCAACCTTAGAATGTAGTTATGCATAATTTGTTTAAGTGGGAGAGTGTAATTACTGCGATCATCGCAATCTTAGTGTGCTTGCGTGGGTGGCGTTTTTCCCCTCTGAAACACAGAATGCTGACTTACCTACCTACCTACCACCCCACACCTACCTACTTACTTACATACATACATGCCTTTCAATGCTCAATCAGCCTACGTTTCAACCAACTTCTCAAGTGAAAAAGATTTGATGTAGAGAGTAATTTGAATGTATTTTCGTTCTTAATATTTTAGTAGTACATATTTTACTATTATTATCACTATTTTTATTTTAATCAGAGCACTTTTCATTTTATTACAATCACTAAAATGTTTTACTTGAATTGTAGCGCCTTTTCAAAGCCTTTTTCTTCTCCTGTTTCACTATGATTTTTGTTTTTTGATTTTGTCACGCTCTTTTTTTTTTCCAATAAATGTATCCTAAAATTCCTATCTACTGTTCACCATATGCCTTTTTCAGTTGTGCACCCTAGCACACACATACGCACATATCAAGTGCTGGATTTAAGAAACAACTGGTAAGATCTAAATATTCCCTACTGAATTGTGGGTTTGATCACCGCTTTCGTTTGATCAATTCTTAGTAAACAAGAGAAATTTTTCTCCTGAAAGTAGATCGGATTGATTTTCTGTCTGTGTTTCTCTCTATTATTACTATTGTTCCACTTTTCTATGTCTGATCACGGATCATGAAATTGTGCTTCAGGAAAAAAGATGAACAACACAACATTTACATGCACATAAAACAAAATTTTAAAAATCTGTTATTTTCATTCTCTTACTATGGAATGTGTACAGTGAATAAGGGGAAATTAGTAAATGTTTGACTTCATCTTGAAATGATCTCATTAGAAAGTGCTTGTGTAAATGATCTGATGATTGGAGTGCTGAAGAGCTTGAAAGAAATATGACTGACACTTTATCTGGATAAGCTGTTGTCCATCATTAGATTAATCTGTTCAAAGTAAGCGTGCACACCGAGACCTTGTTTCTCAGCTTGGTTGCCGAAGGCTTATTTGGCATTTGTTAGTGCACGTCATCTGGGGCACCGACTGGTGAGATATTCAATTATCTATTAAAGGATGCGTACACTGCGCTGCATTATGTTCTGTCCTGTCATAAGACTGATATATGGCTGTCGAAAATAGAAGAAATCTAGCACTTACAAATCTTAGATCATAATCGTCTTTGTGGCATGGCTGGCGTTTGGTAGAATAACCATATAAGTGGTGTTGAGATCAGCCGAAGGGTACTTGGCAAGACAAGCATGGAAATGCAATGCGCATACCGAACCACCTCCTACCTCGACGTCCAGTGCTAGGGAAAGTTGGCTTTAATTATTAGAGGGTTCAGGGTGGCTAGATCAACACTTGGCATTAATCCATGAAGTCTCTGACCTTTGGTCTGAGCCATGTCAGGAGGTGTCGACCACCTGGCTGGGGCTGCTGAGAAGAAATGGATCAATGATTGAAGACTGACTCTAGGTGACATGGTTGAAAACGGTTACAATAGCGCACATGCATCCACTCTTTGACATCTAAGGCTTGAATATAACCATTAACTTTCATCTTCAAATTGTTTGTCCTCTCATATAACTTTGTCTACCTTGATATCAGTCTTTTTCTATCCACCCGTTCTTTGTATACTACCATGAAGTGTGGCAGGCTGAACCAATGAAATTGAGTACGAGATTCTGTCTGTCTGTCTGTCTGTCTGTATACACTGAAATTAACGCCCAAACCGAAATTCAGACCATATTTTTATCAATTTTGTCAAAGCGATATTCTGTGTAAATATAATAAACATAATGATGTTTAGAATAATTGCAGATTCAACTTTCAGTGTGGATATGGAGCCTATTAGTCATGTTATGGAAGATGCAGTGATAAGGTGGATTCGAATGTTTTGCTGACATCTGATCAGGAAACTTAATTGGTGATATTTGGACAAATGACTTGTGTTAGTTGAAGTTCTATAAGCGTAGCAAGACATGCTTTGTGTCAAGCAGTTTATAAGAGGCTGATGTAGATAAACGCTTCATCTGTGCAGAGACAATTCACGCACTGATTAGTCACACAATTCTTCCATTCGGCATCCAGCTCAACAGAAGACAAGACTACTGATCACCATCTAGATACGCACGTATATCCATGTGAGTCATAAACTGGTGATAATACAAACAGTAATTTACAAAGGTGAAGCTATACAAAGTGGTGATTTTAGTTGGAATAAAAAAGCTAAGGCTGATGATCCTAAGATAGTTGGTTCGAATATCCTCGCTAAACAGATACTAATTTCAAATTAAATTGTCACCCTGTGCAAATAAAAAAACAACGGTGCGATAAGCATAAATAGCTCATATTCTCTTATCGAAAATGAAATCAGCAACTTAATATTCAGAAAAAAGAATTATAACCTGCTATTTACGGAGAGTTATTTCACAGCTACAAATGGTATGCCTATGATTTTTGTGTCAAAAAGGCGTTGGGAGAGAGCAATATAGAAGTAGTAGTAGTAGTAGTAGTGTGAGTAGTACTGTGAATAGTAGTAGTGTACTGGGCGTTGCTGATAGGAATGGATATAAGTAGTACATGTTGAGAGGGTGCCAGAAATCATAGGGAATTACCAGTAATGGGTGAGAATTCTGCCAAGAGAAACGTCAGAGGCAGTGTGAGCGTATTGAGAGCAAATCAGGAGAGAAGCAGAAGAGGAAATGAAACACATTTTGCAAATGATGATTTTGGTGCAAGGTGTATCATATTTAACGACTACTGTCCCACTTCTTACCTACTTTGCTGGTTCCTTTAATTGGTGTTGCTGCTACTGGATGTGATGAAGATTCCGTGGCCTGCAGTATTTGAGGATGGAGGCACCAGTGTCTTTCTCAGCGACTTCGAATCTGTCGCGGAGGTGGTGAGTGCCCGGGATCCAGTAGTGAAGGTCGTGGTGCTGGGCACGTTGCTAAGGGGTAGGTCGAGAGCAGCATATGATGGCGTGGAACGTGGAGATGGGAAGGAGACTCGGAAGAATCCTTACCCATTGTTGGTAATTCCCTATGATTTCTGCCACACTCTCAACATATACTACTTATATCTCTTCTTATCAGCAACGCCCACTACAGTGGTAGTCATAATAAATGTAACAATAGTAGTTATTTTTTTCCAATATAAAATATATATTTTCTAAAGTTTATCTATTATACTCAAGGTCATACCACAATCTAGGCAGTTCGCACTCATATGAATTTTATAACTCCTTCTCTTCAGATGCTTATATTCCACTGTACTTTAAGGAATGTGCTTTAACTAATAATTGAGTAGATAAATCAACAAATAGAAGAATTATTATGAAGATAGCAATACGGTTATACATTTATGAAGTAGCGTTTGAAGTTTTGTTTCACAGATCACTAAATATCAAATTGTGGAGCTTGGTGTGTGGAGGTAGTTGAGTTCAGAGTAGATAGATAGCCTCTGTACTACAGGAGCATTTCAATATACATAAAGATTCTGACGGTGATGAACGGTAGCCAACTATGCTGGGTTACAGAATAAAAGTGAATAATAGTATGGTCACGGAGAAACATGAATCCCCTGGGTCTGATCTCTAGAGATATTGTGGGTAGGTACTGCTGAAGAGTCCCACACTAGGGCTAAATAACTGTTAAGTGCTCCCAGGTTTTCAATGCCTTTCCAATTGATGGCACTCCGTGATGAATACCAACTTGAAGAACAAACTATGCATTTTGACACTAGTAGTTTCAGAAATCTCACGAATTTGAATTAATAAGTTAACTTGATGTCATCATCAGTCAAAATCGGGCCAGATGAAATCTTTGCGTAACAGGATGTAATGAAACCTAGGATTCGAAGTTGGCATGCTTTAAACAAGGAATTTCGACGTTTCACATGGAAGTCTGGTCCCAGCTTCGTCACAGAAACTACATTATATCACAGATATACTTATAAAACAGGTGAAAAAAAACCGTGTCTTTCATTTCACTGTCCAATCTTGTCTCTTCTAGATTATGATTGTTTTTCAATATGATTATTAGCCACTCATTGTGCGTTGTTATATACTATTCATAAATGCTACCCACTCTGTATGTGTGTGTGAGTTGGACTTCAGAAATCATAATTATCAATAGTGCATGAAGAATATGTACTTTTTATGAGCATATTGCACAAAATAACAAAAAATATGCCTGTCAATTTCGCTTATAACTGAAAATAGAATAAACTGATTGTCTATTTGAGAGTAGTATTCGTCATGGACTGACATCAGTTGGGGAACCATTAAGAATCTGGAAGCACTGGACACGTGTTTTGTCATAGTATGGGGCTCCTCAGCAGTACGCACTCATGACCCGGCTAGGGATCGAACTCAGGACCGAACTGCAGGTTTCATGGCATACGCGTTAACCATTCAGCCACTGGGTTGGTTTCCAGTGGTTCACAATTTCCAACTTCTGTCAATTCATGACATACCGTGACTATCACCCAACGTTTTCAGTTAGCATCTACTTTACTTCCGACTGGTTTGGTTGACCCCACAGGTCACGGCTTCTCATTACACCTTCGTGAAATGCATCTGGAAGCAAGTCACTGATGAGCACTATACAGTAATGTATTTTTGAGATGAATGGGTATTTTTGATTTAGAAGTAGTATTTATCATGGACTGCTGGAGTCCCATACTAGGAGGAAACAGCTGTCCAGTACTTCCACATCTTCAATGGTTCCCCAACTGATGTCAGTCCACGATGACTACTACTCCTGAATTGAAAAATCCCCATTCATCTCAAAAATACATGACTGTCTATTGTTACTTGAAATTT